AAACATGAGGAACTATAGTTAGTTTGTTCTTACCACGTCTGACTTTTCATGTCGTTTTCATTTGATCTTCTTTCTTACAAAATGCAAAAAGGAAACGAAAACTTTTGCACACCAACATCTTTGAAACAAACACCAGGGTCCAACGAAAGATTTTCAGATGTTTAATGGATGTTGCACTGATATGTAACAAGTTAAAGAACACTGAATGCTTTTTTCCTAAAAGCTCGACGAGTCAGTTTTTGTGAATCTATTAAAAATAACTTACAGGCATGCCAGCTGCAGTAATGATCGTGTAAAAGGCTTCCAGGAGGACACATGCTTGTTACGTACAAAGAAAACAAAAGAAACCAAAATGTGTTTGATAGGTACAAAAGAAGTAAACAACATTTTTAATTCAAACACAAAATGGTATTAACACTTTCTATTTACAGTTTGTATTTACAACAATTTTACAGTGCTTGTAGGGCACAATTAAAAAAAATAAAAAGACTGCCTATTGGTGAGGCAGCAGAGGATTAGCATGGAAACAAACCAAAACAGTCCTGTACAGTGTTTTTGCTGCTGTTAGCAGGGAGCGGAGGCACAGTGTGCACTGATGGATTGTGGGCAGTCTTTGTCGCCGTGCTCCGTCAGTTTGAGGATGACAACTTTCCTCTGCAGGTGCCTAGCTTCTGCTGGTGCGGGCTCTTCGGCTGCTGGTTGCACAGAGCTCTCTGTAACTAAGTCCTGGCAGTCCTGCGGCAGCAGCATAGTAATGATGTTCGAGTGTCCGCCCTGCACCGCCAGGTGTAAAGGGCTGAGGCCCTGCTCATCTGACAGGCTGCCACCGTCTGGACAGTGATTGAGCAGCTCTTTCAGGACTTCACAGTGTCCACCCTCTGCCGCCATGTGGCAGGGCGTGCGTAGGGCGCCGTTAGCTTTGTAGGGGTCTGCCCCTTCTTCTATCAGCATCTTGACTGTGGGCAGGTGGCCCCGCTGGGAGGCTAGGTGGAGGGGAGTGAGTCCATGGGCGCTCTGAGCATTGATATCTGCCTGGTGTTTGACCAAGAGCCGAGACGTGCTGGTGTGACCCGTTTCAGCCGCCACATGTAGCGGCGTCTTTGATCCAGCTGATGTCATGTGCACGTCGGCTCCCAGCTCAATCAGGATCCGTGCCACTCGATACTGCCCCCTCTGAGAAGCCAGGTGCAG